GTTGGAGAAAAGGGAAAATCGGGAGAGGAATGAATTGGACAGAGTGCAGTGGAGAGTTCGTAGCCAATCTCGAACTCGGATCTCGCTTAAAATATCACTTTCTAACGTGTCGTCGAAAGAAACGCTCTCGCCGGAGCCAATCACGTGAAATCGCACGTTCGTTTTCCTCGGATCGATGCGGAGTTCTGATTCGATGTTCCTTCGTCCTCGACCTACTGAGCTTTGAGAAATCCTGTTTAGCGACACGTTTCAGCGGCTCGGGTCGACTGTATCGACATAAGTTTATCGTTTAAACTAGGAAGCCTCGACGAGCGAAACGAGAGGCACCCGAGTCGACTCTGGAGGAAACTTTTAACACATTGTACTTAACGCACTCGGCGCGTCCAACCTGCTCCGCACATTTTTGTAGCAACAGGGAAACTTTGTACAATGCGTGTATGTACTTCTTCCATTCACATTGATAAAATATTCTTAAATATTACTGTACATTTCTTTATAGTAATATTTAAGAATTACTACTTGTTATTTTAGATTTTAACTGTTACTTATTTTGTATTTGTATCAACACATTGAGGACGGTATGCTCTGATAAACGTGTAGCCTGTGTTTTTCGCGTATTTTTTGAATTATTTAATGTATGATTGAAAGGGTTCGGGAGAATGTATAGTATTTAACAAATGTATTATTTTATTAGTAATTGAAATTGTTAATCATTTTTCATTTTAGAGGTATTTTATTAAATATAAATAAATGAAAATATCTTTAGTAACGTTTCTTGGTGTGATATGGTAGGAAACGATTTCTCTAGTTGTTGAAAAATCATGTAACATTATCATATGTAATTATATATTATATATAATATTATATAATATAAATTATATATAATTATATATAATATTATATATAAATTATAATATGTAATAATATTATATATTATAAATTATATATATTATATATAATATTATATAATATAAATTATATATTATATTACATATAATATAATTATATATAAATATATATTGCTTGGTTTTTATAGTAATATTTAAGAATCTACTGATTATGTATTTTAGATTTTAACTGTTATTTATTTTGTATTTATATCAACACATTGAGGTATGCTCTGATAAACGTGTAGCCTGTGTTTTTCGCGTGTCTTTTGAATTATTTAATGTATGATTGAAAGGGTTCGGGAGAATGTATAGTATTTAACAAATGTATTATTTTATTAATAATTGAAATTGTTAATCATTTTTCATTTTAGAGGTATTTTATTAAATATAAATAAATGAAAATATCTCTAGTAACGTTTCTTGGTGTGATATGTTAGGAAACGATTTCTCTAGTTGTTGAAAAATCATGTAACATTATCATATGTAATTACATATTATATATAATATTATATAATATAAATTATATATAACGTTGCCTGGGTTTCATAGTAATATTTAAGAATCTACTTATTATGTATTTTAGAGTTTAACTTATTATTTATTTTGTATTTATATCAACACATTGAGGACGGTATGCTCTGATAAACGTGTAGCCTGCGTTTTTTCGCGTGTCTTTTGAATTATTCAATGTATGATTGAAAGGGGTTCGAAAGAATAGCATTTAACAAGTGTATTATTTTATTATTAATAATTGAAATTGTTAATCATTTTTCATTTTAGAGGTATTTTATTAAATATAAATAAATGAAAAAATTTCTAGTAACGTTTCTTGGTGTGATATGGTAGGAAACAATTTCCCAAGTTGTTGAAAAATCATGTAACATTATCATATGTAATTACATATTATATATAATATTATATAATATAAATTATTATATATAACGTTGCCTGGGTCGTGTCTCCTACAACGCAAAAAAAAATGCGTTCTCCGGTCCGCAACGTTGAAACACGAGAATTCTCACAATTGAAAACTGAATTCAACAATTGAAAACTGAATGACGCGAATTCGCGTCTCCCATCCAGAGTGTATTAACACTCTGTCCTCAGAGTTCGAGTGTTTCCACTCGAACAGTACGTGAAACGAATCAATTGGCGTGAGAGGAACTCAGAATTGTTATGTCAGGAATTTTTCGAATTCAGAGTTGCGGTGATACGCGCATTGTAAACACGTGAACGGGGAATTTGCACGATCGTGATCGGAGGATTCGGTGGTTGGCGAGTGGAACGCGAAAGTTTCGTCGCTGGGAATTTACGTTTGATCTCCTTGAGAAGCAAAATGCCGGCAAAAGGCCGAGTTCGAACGTCTGGATTTATTACGTTCCCGTTCTCTGCATTCGCCAAATTTTTCGTCCTAAATTTCTACAATTTTTAAACACTGCTTAACTCGTCCGATCCTGGCGAGTATTGTTAATTCTTTGGTAAGCATTTGGGATGGAACTTCGCTGATTTTAGTAAAACATATCGTTGGTCGTTTGATTGGGACGCGAAATGGAATTTTGATGACTCCAAGTACGAAATTCGATTGATATTTTAGGTAGAAAATGAGAGTTGGGAGATTGATGTTGGACTGGTTGAAATTTTCTGTTTTTTCTTGTAGCATTCATGAATAGAGTGATTAGTTTCGCGGAAAAGTTTGCGGAATCGCGAAGAGTATGTTAAATTGGCGATGCCTTCTTTTCGCCTGCAGTAATCGTGGAGGCTTGGCCAGTCGTTTCGAACTCGCGGTATCTTAAACGAATCTGTTTAATGTGATGTCATTTATCACGGCTGATCTACCTTGAAGATCCATTTTTTATTAATTCGTTAGAATGCAAGAGACCTAGAATTCTCGACATTAACTCTTTTAACATTTGATAAAACTGCGTAGGACTTTCGTTGAACTTCTGTTTCATACAATTTAACTCCTCCAACAATTGATCGAAGCACTTTTATCCTTATGATATCAATAAGGTCAGCTAGTTAAACTTTTTGGCCAGGTAAATTACAGTAGATATCGATTCATTCTCGGGCTTTACCTGTAATTTTGCTTTTCGTGTAACATGGAAGCAATCGATATTGGAGAGATTTAGGTAAATCTAAAGCAGCATCTGTTTGTTTAATTAAGACTACGTAATTTGTATCTATCACTATCGAACGTGTCTGAGATCAATTTAACTAAAAATTCAAGTGAATAAGTCTGTGATTGTTTCAATTGTCGTTGCATAACTTTCGTTCATCATTTTTACTCGTTTGTTTTATATATGTTTAAGAGTATTGGAGACTTTGGATTTAGGAATTGAGCACGGATTGTGAGATTTGTTAAAAGTGAAAATAGTATTAAAGATATTGGAAAGTAACGTCGTCTTTTTTTTACCAAAATGAAAATGTGATTTTTGTTTTAGATAAATATTAGTTTATTGTGTACTCTTTACTGATTGCCATGACTGTTACCCATCGACTAACTAGATTTTCGAGATCTCTTTTGTAAAAATCCCCTGATTTATAGGAAAAATATTCTGCAAGTGCAGATATTTCACAGGATCAACATTATTAAAGAATTTCCTCCTTAGAGTTCTTCATGGATCGAAAAAAGTGATAGAGCAAAATTAGGATGATAATATGGTGGTGGATTATCTCGCTAGTTGGTTTAAAAATAGATATTCCTTAATGCGATTAAACAAAAATTTGCACATGAACATTCTTATATTTCGTACTCTTTACAAAAATATGTATTTAAATTAACAATTAATTACTCAACTATTATTCAGATATAAATGGTAAAACTTAAAACACTTATTGATTTATCATAACTCGCTACACATTAATTACTCTATTTTTTTTTTTGGAAAGAAATAAAACGTCTGTTTTCAAAACATACGATATCTAAAAATTGTCAATATGGATATTATTGAGTATTGCTAATATTTTTCTTTTTTATATCATGAAATATATAGAAAAAATAATATTATACTTACTGTGAGAAAGTATACTCGTTGTAGCCATCTAGCGGTCAATATTTATATTTTATATCGTAATACTAGATTCTCGTATACTTTACGTGCTATATAAATTCGCGTTATAGGAAATCGTGCTGTACGGGAATTTTTCTCGCATAACGCGTATAATCTAAAGGAACATGTTTGAAATAATTATTGCTATGCCAACTTTTATTTTCTATATTTAGTCAAATAGGACAGTATTTTAAAAATAAGTGGCATATATACGCAAGCTTGGTTAAAAAAACATTAATATATACAAGAAATCTTTTGTTTTATTGAAACTTTAAAAAATTGTAATTTTTATTACAAAAGCAGATTTAATTCTTAAATGCAGGTAATTCCTGTATTTTATGATTTGGCGCGTTGTACGAAGAATCGCGTTATATGAAAACAGTAGTCGCAATATCTTTGGCGTATTATAGGCATTCGCGCTACAAGAACGCGTTATACGGTCTATTGCATCTCTGGCGCATTATAATAGGAATTATTCACGCTCTAAAAATATGAGAGTCTGAATATAATAAACTAAAAAAAATTTCATGTATTTCTCTATTAATGATGAATCTATATAGAATACAAAAATACAACTTTATGCAGACCTCTTATTTGAATTAAAGAGAGAAATCGACAACAACGTCATATCCCCTTAAGAGATGATGAAATGTTCTGTTTTACTTCCTAAACGAAAGCTTTGCTAAATTAAGCTTTTTCCAAAAATTGTTATGGATATAGTAAAGAGTATTGCGTAGTACGTTAATAAGTTAATATAAATATAAGACCGTACCTACAAAATTCTCATGAGAGAAAAATTTTGTTATTGTAGCCATCTAGCGGAAATAGTTACACATAGTTACACAAATAATAGGTAATTTAATTTTAATAAAGATTCTTTTTCTCAAAAATATCTTCTTCAAATTTTTAAATTAATTAATTTTTTTTTAAATAAGTTTAAGGAGAAATTTAATTAATATTTTTTTTATAAAGAAGTTTAAGAAGAACAAGTACAATAATATATAACAAATATATATGTTTTATGCATTTATAGTTTTAATAATAATGAATAATATTTCTGAAGTTTAAAATATTATAATTTATTAAAATATTATGAATAATATTATACATATATTATTTATGCTGGTCCTAAAATATCTATATTTGCTGTTGTATCTTGAACATTACTATGAGCTATCATATACTCTGAAACAGATATGTATATTCCAACTAATAATCCAATTACACTTGCTATATAAATATTTCGCTGGAAGATAATGCATGTGGCAATACACAGACCAAAATATGTAGCATATCTTGCAATATTCTCTTGTTGTTTACGACCCAATAAATCAGAATCTGCAATGAATAATTATATAATTATTATTACCATTATATCATTATTATTATTATTATTATTATCATCATATACAATTATTATTTATTGAAAACATACTTATACAAAAATTGTTTTTTTTGCGGTATCCCTCTGCACATTTTATACACATATCTGGTCCATCACCTGTGCACCCATTGCAAGCCTTATCACAATCTAAAATATTAATTAAAAATAATAACTTAAATTATTTTTATATTATTTTGTGACATACTTAAACATACTTAAACATGTATATCCTCCTTCCTTATTAATACAAAATTGATTCCCAAGACAATATTCATTACTTTTTATGCATTCATCAATATCAAAGCAACCTTGTCCATCTATCATATGCCATCCTTTTATACATTTTTCACAATTTTTTGGTCCTGGTCCTTTACAGGATCCATCACAGGCATTATGACATTGAGAACAAAGTAATTTATTTTCATCTTTGTAGGATTCATAAAATCCAACTGCACATTCAGAACAATCATCTCCTTCATAGCCTCTATCACACAAGCATTTACCATTTCCTTTTCTAGTGCCTGCTCCTTTGCATTTACCATTGTTATTGCAAATCTTATCTGGAAAACCTGGACATGGTTTACATTCTGGACCAAAATGGTCTTTTGGACAACAAGATTCTAGTTGTTCAATACATATATAATTATAAATATCTGGGTATGCCTGCTGATGATTAAACCACCAATCTTCTATTTTATTTTCTAATTCTTCAGCTAAGGACTGACATTGTGTTTTACCACGTTCTACTTCCTCACATAAATGCTCTTGTATTTCTATTAATCTAGTTTCACTTTTTGAATATGAACCTAATTTATCTTCCTCCCATGCACTATCACCACCATCAAATTTTTCACGGCTAGTCCTTTCTATACCCTGTATAATAAAGTAATTCAGTAAATAAATGTGAAATAAATATATACAAAATACTTATACGTACAAGTAATGATTAAATAAGAATAAAATAATAAGAATAGAATAATAAGAATAAAATTATTTAAACAATATTGTTATAATAAACTTAATTTTACATTTGTCATATTTATATACAAAGCATATATAAATTTTTATGTATATTAAATATATATATATATTTTTATGCATATGTTCTTTAACTTTTAACTTACGTTCTTAAAACTATTGACTAAAATCTTGCAAGCCGCGCACGGAGGAAATTTTTGAGCTTTGAGTTCTTCACTTGAAGGTGCTTTGTCGCACTTTACAGAAGCAGACATATAAAGTAAAATAAACAAGCTTAAGAAAAGAAAAGAGATAACATTGGTTTTTCGCATTATTCTACTGGGACGTACCGGTCACTACTTTACACCAGCATTTACTTAAAGACTAATGAATAATTACTCTTAAATATAAGTCGCAATATTTGTATAATTTATTTTATAGCGTTTTATAGATCATTACTTCATTAAACATTTCAATTATAGCCAATATATAAATGATTATAATAGTCCGAATTTTTCAGATAAACAGTACCACGTAAAATAATACAATAAATATTTCGTAACTGAACATGCGCGTTTTCAATCAATATAAAACTGACACGTTGATTTTATTCATTACAAGCAAATAGATATGTATATAATTTTATTCCAATTCAATGTTATTTTTTATTATTTCTATTGTATTTGAGAGACCTAAATAAATATTTTTTTTCATTTCATACAAAGTATGTGTCATATTAAAAGATAATCTTCTAACAATTACAATTAATTAATTTATAAAGAAATATATTTAAAGAAAAATTCATAATAATAGCATAATCTCATAGAATAAATATTATATGATAAAATATATATTCCAATCGCCATATCTATCTAAACGTATGTATTTCATGGCAGTGTTAATGACGTGTCGTGATTCATGTTAAGTTCATAAGGGTTAGAATTATGTTTTTTTGAACATAATTTTGTTAAATATTCAATAAAAAATGTTGACGAAATTTGAAACTAAATCTGCTCGTGTAAAGGGACTCTCTTTTCACCCCAAACGTCCATGGGTTCTTGCAAGGTAATACATATTTTTCTTATTACCCACTAATTAGCACATAATTACATTACAAGATAAAATTTCTTATTTACATTAATAGATAAAGAAACAAAAGATATGGAGATATTTTTTTATAATGCTCTTAGTTTTTAATATTTATATATTTTATATATTTAAATAATATTATACGATATTATATACATTTTTCGATAATGTTTAAATTATATAATTTTTTTTTTTAATTATTCCTTAATTTTTAAGCAACTCTGATTTCTGAAAATATTGCGTGTTATGTTATAGTTTGCATAATGGAGTTATTCAATTATGGGACTATCGTATGTGTACTTTATTAGACAAATTCGATGAACATGATGGTCCAGTTCGTGGGATATGTTTCCATAATCAGCAACCATTGTTTGTTTCTGGTGGTGATGATTACAAAATTAAAGTATGGAATTATAAACAAAGAAGATGCATCTTCACTTTGTTAGGTCATTTAGATTATATTAGAACAACTGTATTTCATCAAGAGTACCCATGGATTCTAAGTGCATCAGATGATCAAACTATTCGTATTTGGAATTGGCAAAGTCGTACTTGCATTTGTGTTTTAACTGGACATAATCACTATGTGATGTGTGCACAATTTCATCCTACAGAAGATATCATTGTATCAGCTTCTTTAGATCAAACAGTCAGAGTATGGGACATTTCTGGATTAAGAAAAAAAAATGTAGCTCCTGGTCCAGGAGGCTTGGAAGATCATTTAAAAAATCCTGGAGCCACAGATTTATTTGGTCAAGCTGATGCTGTTGTAAAACATGTTTTGGAAGGACATGACAGAGGTGTTAATTGGGCATATTTTCATCCAACATTGCCTCTAATTGTTTCTGGAGCTGATGACCGTCAGATTAAAATGTGGAGAATGAATGATGCCAAAGCTTGGGAGGTTGATACTTGTCGTGGGCATTATAATAACGTCTCTTGTGTTTTATTCCATCCTAGACAAGATTTAATTCTTTCAAATTCTGAGGATAAAAGTATTCGGGTTTGGGATATGTCTAAACGTACTTGTTTGCACACATTTAGAAGAGAGCATGAAAGATTTTGGGTTCTTGCAGCACATCCTACATTGAACCTTTTTGCTGCTGGTCATGATTCTGGAATGATTATTTTTAAGTTAGAAAGAGAACGTCCGGCATATGCTGTATATGGAAATGTTCTTTATTATGTAAAAGAACGTTTCCTTAGAAAATTGGATTTCACTACCTCAAAAGACACATCTGTTATGCAAATACGAGGAGGTGGAAAAACACCTCCTTATAGTATGTCGTACAATCAAGCCGAGAACGCTGTTTTGATATGCACTAGATCACCTAATAATGTTGAAAATAGCACTTACGATCTATACTTAATACCGCGTGAAAGTGATTCGAACACTGATGCTGATACGAAACGGGCTTCGGGCGTTACTGCTATTTGGGTTGCTAGAAATCGTTTCGCGGTGTTAGATAGAGCATATTCGGTATGTATTTAGGTAAATTATTTTGTTTAAACTAACGAGAATAAATAATCATTTTTTAATGATTTATTGCAGTTGGTCATCAAAAATTTGAAGAATGAAGTTACGAAGAAAGTGCAGATTCCAAGCTGTGATGAAATATTTTACGCAGGCACTGGAATGCTCCTTTTACGCGACGCTGATCAAGTAACTCTCTTTGATGTTCAACAGAAACGAACATTAGCCGAAGTAAAAATTTCTAAATGCAGATATGTCGTTTGGTCTAGCGATATGTCTCATGTTGCTTTACTTGCGAAACATACTGTTAACATTTGTAATCGACGATTAGAATCCTTGTGTTCTGTACATGAGAACACTAGAGTAAAATCGGGAGCTTGGGACGATTCAGGAGTTTTCATTTATACGACTAGTAACCACATTAAATATGCGATCAACAATGGTGATCATGGTATTATACGCACATTAGACCTCCCGATATATGTAACGCGAGTTAAAGGCAATCAGGTTTACTGCTTAGACAGAGAATGCAGACCAAGGATTCTTCGAATAGATCCGACTGAATATAAATTTAAATTAGCTTTGATTAATAGGAAATATGAGGAAGTTTTGCACATGGTTCGCAACGCAAATCTCGTTGGCCAATCTATAATTGCATATTTGCAACAAAAAGGATATCCTGAAGTTGCTTTGCACTTTGTCAAGGATGAAAAGACAAGATTTGGTCTTGCACTCGAATGCGGAAATATCGAAGTCGCTTTAGAAGCCGCGAGATCACTTGATGAAAAATCTTGTTGGGAAAACTTGGCTCAAGCAGCCTTATTGCAAGGCAATCATCAAGTTGTCGAAATGTGTTATCAGAGAACTAAGAATTTTGAGAAGTTGGCATTCCTTTATCTCATAACTGGTAATTTAGAGAAATTACGTAAAATGATAAAAATTGCAGAAATTAGGAAAGATGTTTCTGGGCAGTATCAAGGTAGTTTATTGCTTGGTGACATTTACGAGCGTGCAAAAATTTTGCGGGTAGGTATTCGTATAACACAATTTACATTTAAAATTTTTTTGTGATTTATTTCTTATTTTTTTTATGTTACAGAACTCAGGCCAAGCCTCATTGGCTTATGTAACTGAAAAAATTCACGGTATATCATCTCCAGAAGATGATATTCAATATAGTTCTATGAGCGAAGAACTGTCTGCTCTTGAAATAGGAGCAGAATATCTCCGACCTCCCGTACCAATCCAACAGGCCGAGAACAACTGGCCATTGTTAACAGTATCAAAAGGTTTCTTCGAAGGAGCAATGATGTCGCGCGGAAAGAGTCAAGTAGCTGCTGCTTTGGCTCCGGAAGATGATAGTGCTGTACCTGCTGAAGGATGGGGCAATGACGAAGAATTAGGAATAGATGATGAAGAAGGTGTGGAAAATGAAAATATTCCTGAAGGTGAAGAAAGCGCTGGATGGGATGTCGAAGATGTAGATTTGCCACCAGAACTCGAAACTCCAGCGACCGTGGTGGAAGATGGGTATTATTCACCGCCAACAAAAGGAGTATCACCAACTCAACATTGGGTGAACAATTCTCAGTTAGTTGTAGATCATATTCTAGGTGGGTCGTTTGAAACGGCATTTAGATTGTTAAATGATCAAGTTGGTGTAGTTGAATTTGGAGCTTATCAAAATCTTTTCATGAATATTTTCGCACGCGCTAGAACGTCGTTTGCTTCGTTACCGAATATACCTTCTTTATATGGATATCCTCAAAGAAATTTGAAAGATACGAGCCCAAAAAGTGGCCTTCCTGCTGTTGGACTACATCTTAGTGATCTGGTTCAACGACTTCAAGTATGCTATCATTTGACAACTGGTGGAAAGTTTCCAGAAGCTATAGAAAAATTACAAGCAATCTTACTCAGTGTGCCATTATTGGTTGTTGATACAAGACAAGACATTATAGAAGCACAGGAATTGATTCAGATTTGCAGAGAGTATATCCTAGGTTTGAAAATGGAAACTGAAAGGAAAAACTTACCTAAAGCTACTTTAGCCGAACAGAAACGAATCTGTGAAATGGCTGCCTACTTTACACACTGCCATTTGCAACCTATTCATCAGATTCTTACTTTAAGAATAGCTGTAAATATGTTTTTCAAATTAAAGAATTACAAAACTGCAGCATCGTTTGCAAGAAGATTACTTGAATTAGGACCTAAGCCTGAATTAGCACAACAAGTTAGAAAGATTTTGCAGGTATGTATACTATCGTATATATTGTTAAAATATATAATTTAAAGTACAAAACGATATTATAATTGCATCTCCTTTTTTTAGGCTTGTGATAAAAATCCAGTAGATGAACATCAGTTGGCATATGACGAACATAATCCATTCTCATTATGTGCAAGCACATTTGTTCCAATTTATAGAGGAAAACCAGAAGTCAAATGTCCGTTATGCGGTGCAAGTTATTTACCTCAATTTAAAGATACAGTATGCAAAGTTTGTGAAGTAGCGCTAATTGGAAAACAATGTATTGGTTTAAAGATAAGTCCTGTTCAATTCCGATAATTTTTTTAGTATTTTTATTATTATTATTATAAATAATATATTATATTATAATATAATATTATTGTTTTATAATTTTTCAATTATGTTGTAGATAAAAAGTATTATATCATTCCAAAAAATATTATTAAGGATATTCAAATTTTTAACATATTTCATTCGCTATTTACGGTCAAAAATCTGTATAACATTATTAATATTAATGTTATTTCACATTGAAACAGTATATATAAATTATATTTTAAAAATATACAATAAAATTAAGAACTAAAGAGTTTTTTATTATATCTTCTATTAAAGTTCATTTTTGTTTTCATAAAAAGCGATAAAAGCGGATTATTTTTAATCAGTTATGATTCATATTATTTATATTAAACAACTATATGGTTGCTATAAATAATTAAAAACGTATATATTTATACAATTTTGTATAACGCAACTTAAAATTAGTGGCAATACTTAAGGCGTATAAGCAATTGCTAAATCTTTTGAAAAGAAGCATTTCAATGAATGTAAAATCTCTATATTAGTGTTGGTAATATCTTGCAATTGTGTAAGATAAATCGCATGCAATAGTATACCAAGGCGGTTGCACAAATCGTAAAATTATAAACTGTAATTTATAGCATGTATTATAAACTTCTTATCATATATTTAACAAATTTATGTTGTGATCATCTAGGGAATTCCGGATATATAGGGGATTCATTTATTATGTCGTTTTTTATTAATTTGTGAAATTTTCAAAAATAACAACGAGATAAATTTATTTTACAGATGCTATAAGAATAGTGTTAAATTGAAATATAACGCTATTATTATTTATCTGTAGTAATAATTGTACAATGCGACATGGGAAATATATGCAGGGTTGGATCGTTGACGAGTACTGAGTGAGCACACTAGAAGACATGAAATCAGTGCCGTAAACATCGTGAACGTAAATACACGGTTTGCGTTCTGTGTATACGTGTTACGTTACAGACGTCTTCTAAACCGTGTAGAATTTTCATGATTCTTATCGGAGAAGATTCATCTGACTTTATATTTATATGAGCTATTCTTTTAAGTCAAGTTAATTAATAAAGAACAGTAACTGAAGGTAGGTTATAATCAAGACGTACGATATTGACAGTGCTAAGAATATCAAGAAGTAGTAAGTTTTCGTTGGGTGTGTGAACCTTCGAAGTTATTCAAACTGTCGTATCGTGAACATTGAAGTTAAAAAAGTTTGAAGAAAAAGGCGCACTATCTACGAAACCATCGGGCGTTGTACTGCTCTAGGGGTAACACGGTGGGTGCATAGCTGCGCGGTATGAAAAAATGATGTGATCGATGGTCATCATGGCGGCACCCATGCTGAAGTGGAAGCGGATCACAAATCCGTCCGGACCCCAGCCAAGACCCAGACATGGACACAGGGCAGTTGCTCTTAAGGACCTTATGGTTGTTTTCGGCGGTGGAAATGAGGGCATTGTTGATGAGCTTCACGTGTATAACACGAGTAAGTTGCTTTCTTGCTGTGCGTCTTTCGCGCCGTTCTTGATGATTCCCGCGATCCAAGATGGCGGCATACATTGACAAAACGGTCACCGGCCGGATCATCGTGAAAACCATGAATTTTATTTATGTCAGATATCTTATTGTCATATATTTCATATACGTTAAATGTATCTTTATTATATATATCTTTTTGAGTGTTATTTGTTAAACATTTGGTTGATTTCATACGTAGAATTAGTGCGATCTGTCATTTTTCATGTTTATACGCACGGGAGCGGCCATTGCTGTCTTATATGCCCCACCACGATTTGCAACGCGCCGCGTTTCCCGTCATTCCACGTTCACGCTTCATCCTTCCTTTTCTTTTTTTCTTCCGTTCCTATTTCTCTTCCCACTCTTTCATTTTAGGTTTTCACATCTTTACCATATCATGCATGCGTATAGCATTTCTTTTACTATGTTGCCAACAATTATACGCATGCGTACTATGATGAATATTTTGTACTTAATTTTGAAATGTTTTAATGATATTACTTTAATTATGTATATAATTTCTAATATAAAGGTAATGAATATAGCAATGTATTATAATTACAAATACTAACTTAAAATTGTTATAAACTTGTTAAATTTAATATCTTTTTAGTTTTTAATTTAATTAATATAAATTTATAAATTTATTTAGAGTTTTTGTTTATTGATAAAAATCATGTAAATTTTTCTAATATTATAAATATATATTTAAAGACATTATTTTTTATTTATTACAAGAATATATCATATTATATATCATTTATGTACTAATTTTTTTTTATTCATAATTTAAAAAAAAAAATTTTATTCACCCTATTACTATTTACAGCAACAAATCAATGGTTTGTACCATCGACAAAAGGTGATATTCCACCTGGCTGTGCTGCATATGGATTTGTTGTTGATGGAAGCCGTATTTTGGTCTTTGGTGGCATGGTTGAATATGGAAAGTATTCAGATGAGCTTTATGAACTTCAAGCTGTTAGATGGGAATGGAAAAAATTGAGACCTAGACCACCAGAAAATGACCCACCACCGTGTCCTAGATTAGGACATAGTTTTACTCTTATTGGTAACAGAGTCTTTCTTTTTGGAGGGCTGGCTAATGATAGTGAAGATCATAAGAACAATATACCGAGATATTTAAATGACCTATATACTCTTGAACTGCTTCCTAATGGAGGGACAGTTTGGGATGTACCACAAACACATGGACATGCTCCACCACCTAGAGAGTCTCATACTGGTGTGTCTTATACTGATAGTAAGACAGGAAAAACCTGTTTAGTGATTTATGGTGGTATGAGTGGTTGTCGTTTGGGTGATTTATGGTATCTTGATGTTGATTCAATGACTTGGCACAAACCTGTGGTTCATGGACCTATTCCATTACCCCGTTCTCTTCATACTGCCACTTTAATTGGTCATCGAATGTACGTCTTCGGAGGATGGGTGCCACTCGTTGTCGACGATGTTAAAGTTGCAACGCACGAAAAAGAGTGGAAATGCACAAACACATTGGCTTGTTTAAATATTGGTAAATAGATGTTACATCTTCTGACATTATTTTGTAATTATATAGAAGATGAGATTAATTGACATCATTTTAGAAACTTGGACATGGGAACAGTTAACAGTTGATACATTGGAGGAAAATGTTCCTCGCGCACGTGCTGGTCACTGCGCGATTGGAATGCATAATAAACTTTATGTATGGTCTGGTCGAGATGGATATCGCAAAGCTTGGAACAATCAGGTTAGGGTTAGTCCTTAAAATTTATTTTTAATTTAAGACTGCTCTTATCTGGTATACAATATGATTTACTTTTTATCACCAGGTTTGTTGTAAAGATTTATGGTATCTAGAAGTCGGTAAACCATCTGCACCATCGAAATTGAACTTAGTTAGGGCTAGTTTACAAGCATTGGAAATTCAGTGGACACCAGTACCATCTGCACAATACTACATATTGCAAATACAGAAATGTAAACCTTCAGCAACAACTGGAACATTTCCTACAGTCAGCACTCCAGCAAGCACTGCAACACCTACCACGACATCAGCAATGGTTACTCTTGCAACTGATTCTGCTACATCTTCACCTGTTACTGCTGTTCCTGAGCTTCCACAAACTCCAACCACTATTAGACCGTCCATACCTCCACAGACTCCGGTCCGAGTTCAGTCAACTGTACAAAGCCCAGTTCAGAAACCAGTACCATCACAAAGCGTAACAAAACCATCGAGTCCATTGACACCGAGAGTAGCCGGGAATCTTATCAGAATTCGTTCTCCTTTAGTTACAACAACACCAACAGCAACCACTGCTACTGAACAAACTCCAACTGCTAATACTACAGTGGCAGGCCAAACACCAGCTGCTATGTCAGGAATTGCTGCCTTAGCAGCAGCAGCTGCTGCTACTCCAAAAATAAGCATGAACAATGTACCAATTCTTCCACAAACTACAGCTAACACAATCAGGATGAAAAATGTACAACCTGGCCAACAAATACGTTTCGCTGCACCCGGAGCAACGGTATTGAGAACTGCTTCACCACAACAAAGTAAACAAATTATTTTACAAAAACCGGGTCAGAATATATCTGGTCAACCACAGATTGTACATCTTCTTAAAACAGCACAGGCAATGGTAGCAACAGTGCCTAAAGTGAGCCTTATCCCAGGAAAGACTGTTCAAGCAACAGGTGCAAAGCCATTAAATCAGGGAGCGAAAATACTGAGATTAGTAAATCCGAACACTGTACAAGGCTCTAAAATTCTTACAACTATGAAAACATCCAATATTGTTGCAATGAGTAAAGGGCAAAATATTAGTGGTAAACAAACGATAATGATTACCAAACCCGGTGGTAATGGAGGATTAGTTGGCCGTAATCAAATAATAGTAGTCACAACGGGATCTAATTTAAGAACTATACAAGCCGTTACTACATCTCAAGCTGGTAGTGGACAAACGGCAAATATCACGACACCTGTGAATGTTTTACCTTTATCAGCCACTAATCACGTAACGAATCAACAAGGGGTAAAAATGATTGTTGTTTCATCCGGAGCAATGGGAGGTGGAACTACTGGCAAACCGATTACTATTACAGTTCCCGGCCAAGGCGGTGTTCCAAAAACAGTAACTATTGCCACTAAAGGCAGTCCACAAGCTATTTTTAACCCTGGGAAGAGTCAAATTGTTACCATGCCACAAATACAAAAAACACCAGAGACTGTGACAGTGTCTGGTAAGCCTGTAACGTTACAAATGTCTGGAGGAATAGGCGCGAAAACGGTTACTCTCATGCCTACAAGTAGCACGATAGTGACTACTTCAAGTGCATCAGAGACAATAGATACGAGTAAAATGTTATTTGTTCCATCGCAGAAGCAACCATCAGCTTCATTAGCATCTACATCTGATGGACCTGCTACTACTGATGCTGCATTGGCTGCGTTAGCTGCAGAGGCAGGTTTAATAGATCCAGTTCAAGAGCCTTCCGGTGATCTGTC